TCTCTACCTCTCCGACGTGGAACGCGGGTGTGTACGCCAACGGCCAAGTGTTCAACGTCAACGAGCTCTTCGAGGTCGACGCGTCGACGCAGCAGATCAAGGCGGTCAGCAACGGCCAGTGCCTCGACGCCTTCAAGCAGGACGGCCGCCTCCGCGTGCACACGTACACTTGCGACGCGTCGAATGGCAACCAAAAGTGGCGCGTGGTCGGCGGCAAGGTCGAGCACGCCACGCATATCGGGCAGTGTCTGGACGTGGACCCGACGGACCCGCACCACAACGTGCAGATGTGGGCGTGCATTGCCGGCAACGACAACCAGCGCATCGAGCTCGTGTCGCAGATCTAAGAACGTAGCGATGCCGATAGCTCGATTGTTTCTCTTGTCCATGTGTGCACACCAACGTAATCACGTGTGCCACAGTCATTACCGCGTCGTTGGGATTGGAGATGCGTAGTTAGTAAAGCCACCGCGGTGCGTGTGTCTCGTCGTACTCGATCACGGGCGAGAAGAACTCGATGAACTGCTGGTCGAGGAGGCGCATGCGCGGCCCTGCAAAGCGGCAGTACTCGTCGATGATGGACGTTAGCGACCAGTGCTGGATCTTCCGGAGGCAGCCGATGACGCAGCCCGTGCGATGCTAGCACCATCGATATGGGCACCACGTCGACGACGACGCGTCACGTACCGTGCCCTTGGTGCATTGCACGAGAATCGGGTGGTTCCGGACGTCTATGCAGCTCCTTGAGTACATGCTACAAACATGCAATGCGCACCGAGCAAATGCGTCAGCGCCGTGTTCATCGAGTCGGGGTTGATGCCAAGAAAGGGCTCCTACTCGTCCGTGAATGCACAATGCAGGTGCAGAGAGCGCACCTTGTTGCCGTCAATCGGGCACTGAAACACTTGGATGCCGTTCTCCTCAAAGAAGACGAGGTTCTCGGGGCGGTGCTCCTGGTGGCATAGGTACAGCACCGAGCGCAGCCCGAGCTGCTGCAGGAACGCGTGGTTCTTCTTGTTCGGGAAGCCCGACCGGTACACGCCCGAGTCGACCATCGAGAAGTTCAAGGGCGGGATCAGCGTCTTCTCGTAGACCGACATGCTGGCGACGATGGGGTCGGATTTCGAATTGGCCGTTTGCCGTAGCCAATCACAGCTCGGGACGCTGGTCATGGGTTCGATCCCGGCGCCGCGCCTCGATGCTCTGCAACAAGGATACGGGTTGGAGTCTATAAACGTCTGCCGAAGTGCTGAAGGCGCCTTGCTGCCTCGAGAAGAGCATGCAGCAACGTTGCCCGGCCAGCGAGGCGCCCGCCCGTATCTAGAAAGGCGGTGCGAACGAATTTTAGCCAATGGCATCGCGCGAAATCTCACATTGCCGTTGCAGAACGAACAATCCAAAACGCAGCGAGATATGGCGTCGACGGTCGCGCTCAAGATTGGCTTCAAGGGCGAGATCCACCGCATCCGCATCGACCTCGCGGCCTTTGGCTACGAGGACCTCGTCGCGCTCTTCGAGGCGACGTTCCAGCTGCCGCCTAGCACGTTCGTGCTCCAGTACAAGACGCCGGACGCGACCTTTGCCAACGTTGCAAGCGCCGCCGATTTTGACGCGGCGTGTGCGACGCAGGCGAGTGCGGGAAGCTTGCGCTTCTTTGCCGTCTCCAAGACCGAGGCGACGCTCCACGAAAACGTCTCGGAAGGCATCCGCAAGGCGTTTGCGACCATCTCCGTCGCGCTCGACAAGGTCAAGCAGGAGCCGTGGGTGCAGGACACGGGCGCCGCCATCAACCACGCCTACGCCAAGACGATCGAAGAGTCCAAGTCGACGTTGGCGAGCGCCAAGAAGTCGCTCCAGGACATTGAAGTCGACAAGCTCGTCGAAGAAACCAAGGTCAACCTGCGCAACGTCGCAACTGGCGTCTCGGCGTATGCCCAGGACTTGGTTGAGAGCCTCCAGAAGAAACCCGCGGTGGCGGAAACGATGGCGCCGCCGCCGCCGGTCGAAGCCAAGTGGACGTACGAGCTTGCGACAATCCGCGACATCCTCCCCGACGCGGTCGACGACGTGGCGATCGCGGCGCTTGAGCGCGCCAACGGCGATGTCCAAATTGCGCTCAACGAGATCATGTCGGCGTAGTCGTACCTCTGCCTCCTACTATTACACGTTTCGTTCCTTCTAGTACCGTGGTTGACGCAATGGCTCCAGTGCTGTTCTGCAGAGGGATGGATCTCTCCGTACGAGTACGTAATAGCTCATTTCCAACGACCAAGGGCCAGGGCCAACTGTTATGCATGCATCGTCTCGGATTTTTCCGCTGCAGTTCAACGCGCAACCCGGTAAATGACTATATGGTGCGATAGATGGAAAGCAACGCGAGGCAACGGTCACAGGCCCTTGGCGAGGCCCGCGAGCGTCTCTTCGTCCAACATGTCGATGCTGTCGTCACCTGGATGCGCCTCGTCGTCCCAGAGGCCTTCCATGAGGTTCAATTGGTCGAGGGTCGTGAGCTCGACCTTCTTGGCCGGCGTTTTCACAAGGTTGCGCCACGGCTACCACGATCCCATCAACCTCCTTCGTCCGCGACGAAGCGCGTACCTCTTTTTCATTCGGCGACAGCAACCGCCAAAGCTTGCTTGCCTACGCCGCTCGATCACCACGGGTACTATCAAATCGATGGAACCAACCTTATGGACGACATCGTTGTGCGTCAAGTGCGGCTCCATCGCAAGGAGCTCGTGCTTCTTGGCATGCACAAAGAGAGCAAAGCCCGACGTTGCTGTGGGCAGCGGGCCCTACATACCGACACATTGTGTCATTTGCTTCTTCCCCAGTCGCACCGGCAACGTCTCGCGCGGCGATGCTCCGTTGAGCGACTAGACCGCGGATATATGAGAGGCATTCAACGTTGACTGAGAGCGCACCATGGTCTCCGGCGTCGTCGCGCCGGCGTCCGACTCGGCCTGCTGGGCTTCGTAGCGCCGCACGTCGTCGCGCGCCATCGCCCGCCAGGTCGCCTTTGCGGTCTCGGGCAGCTCCCGCCACTCTTTCGCAATCGCAACCATGTACTCGTTGTACGGGCGATCTTGATACCGCCGGCGGTTCTCGAGCTCATAGTATACGAACGCCGACTTGGGGTACTTGGTCCTTTTCTGATTGGCTTTTTTGGCCTACAGCATATCGTAAGATGCGGGCGTTGCCGATGTTCTACCGTGCGGGGGGGCGTAGATGCGCGCTTCTTAACGCCCTTGCTCATCGGCACGTACCGGCGCATCTCGGCTTCGTACCGGGCCCGCTCGAGCTCAGCCAAGCGCGTAAAGTCGGCTTTCTCCGCACTCGACATGGCGCGCCAGAGCACCGCCGACTCCTTTGTGAGCGCATTGTACGAGAGATGCCGCTGCGACGACCGCCGATGCTCGAGAAACAGCTGAAACGCGTGCTTGGGCGTCTTGGGGGCTCTTGCATCCTTCGGCAAGGTCTCTGCTGCCGCGTCCTCGGCAGCTGCGAGCGCAATCCACGGCTGCTTCTCGTCGCGAGAGAGCGCGCGCCAGCGCCGGCCCATTTCCTTGCCGAGCGACTGAGGGAGGAGCGTCGGGTGCGCGGCCTGCACGGCGGCCTTTTGCGCACGCCAAAAGTAGAAAAACGCGCGGTTCGGGTGCTTGTGCTTTAGCGACGCGACCACCGGCGACGTGGGCTGTGCGTCCAAGGCCGAGAAGGCATCGTCCAAGCCCGTCGTCGACGACGACGACGTCAGCAAGAACGACTGCAAATCCATGTCCAAGAGCGACGGTGCCGACGCGACTTGGGTCTCGGCCAAGTAGCGCGCTCGGTCATACGCGGCGAGGTTGGTCCACACCACGCGCTCGCTGGGCGAGAGCGCCTTCCAGAGCCGCCCGAGCTCGCGCGAAATGGCGTCGTTGCCCCACGCCGGGTGCGCCTGGACGATCTCGACGCGCTTGCCGTCGGCGAAGTGGAGGTACGCGTTCCTCCATGGGCGGACGCTACGAGCAGGCCATGGAGACGATGATGATGATGATGCAGAGTACCTTGTCGACGTCGCCTTGGCCATGTCACCGCCCTTTTTCGCCGTTTCTTGAAACTAGGATTTCCGGATACTTTGGATCGCACCGGATACGGCGGCGACTGCTTGTCGTTGCCGTGCCAAGCACAAAACCAAACAAGGTGGCTGCATCTCGAGGCGACATGGTAGTCTTCCACTTGCAAACGTACTACACAGACCAGCGCCTTCTTGCCATAGTCACAAAGACACTGTCTTCTCAATCATGTCCTTGACATTTTAGTTGTCGGTCAACGACGGGTCCGAGTCGAATCGTTTTTGTATACAAACAAGGATTGATGTCATTGATTGCATTATATAACATGGTACCTAATTTACAAAGAGGAAGTAGAACTCGACAAAATTTCGAGTCCCAGTGCATCAACGCACGGTCTGCGTCGCTAGCAACTCGACCGGACAACAATCATAGATGCTTGCTGATGCAGCAGCAAGTGGAGGATGACCTAACGAGTGGTCAACTTGTCTTATATGACAGTATTTTGTCATACACGAGGTGTGCAATGGCCCGCGCAGGCTCCTGATCCTACCGCCAAGATCGTTTCCATGTTTCGCGCGCTCGATTCTGGTGCCGCCACGTTTGAATATGCACCAAATTCCCTATCAATCCATACCCTGTACGAATCGTATTTTGTAAATTATATAATAACTGCGCATATTCTCTCATAAACCTTTGATAATACATAGTTTGGAACAACGAATGCGAATGCTGAAGAGTCGAAAGAGCGGGTAGGGCTGTAGTGTTTTAGCCAATCACAACACAGTACGTATTTTTAGAGTCTTCTAGAAACCTTCGTAAATGCATAGATGCGATTTGAATGGTCAGCAAGCCGATGGTGGGCGGTGTCTGATCACGGCAACTTCATTTTCAAATTTGCAGCAGTAGAGCAACTAGTCGAGTCGGAAGCACATGATATTTTTCAATCAGCTACTCTGAAAGGGCTTTAGTCGGCCCGCAAAAACCATGTAGTCAAAAGGATCTGATGCTTCCAGAATACACTCATACAGTTAGCAACCTCAACAAGATGTAGCGTCGAGTAGTTAGCAGCAGCAACAACGACATGCGAGTGCAAATGAAATTCATCTGAATCGCTACACTTAAATGAGTATTCAGCTCAGCTTGATGTGGACTTTCACTAATATGATGCACTCCAACTAAACATACATAGCCTCGACGAGAACTCACCTCAAAATTTGGGTCTTCCCAACACCGCATGCTTCTAGTCGCGCAGGGCGAGAGAGCGACCAACTACACGTGACAGAGAACCAAGCAGTTGTGGCGGATACGGGAGCAAAATGTTAGTTCAAGCACAAGCATGTCTTATCCAGTAAGTGGATCACGACTGTGCCACTGGCGTTATTCTCCCTGACAGCTTGTGCGTGGTGCCATCGCACGCACGGAGACGCTCCGTCTTATCACACGAGAAAACATGTCTGGTCTTGGCTACTACTTGCTGGCGTCAGCGTTGTGAGACCCTGTCTCGACGCCAAGTATCCGAGACAGAGAAGATGCACGAGTATTAGACAACCACGAAACGTGTTCAAGTAAAGCAGTTAAAGGACAAGTGATTTGGGTAGTACGAGTGAGGACCCTCGTACAAGGTAGTAGAGACACATCCAAGACGACTACGACGATGCGACTGTTAGAGCGGCCGGCCGACGAGGTTCATGACAAAGTCGTAAATCTTCTGGAGCACGGTCGAGTCGAGGACGCGGTACTCGGACGCAAAGGCCATGAGGCGCCGCCAACACAGCGTCAGGTGGCCCGACATTTCGAGCTGAGCAAAGTGGCGCAAATGCACCCGGTATAAATACACGTAGACGTGGAGCATGCCTTGGTAGACGTTGTGGACCTTCTCGGCGTCGCGGGCGTCGTCGTCACGGACGTGCGCCTCGAGGCGATTCATGAGTATGTCCATGGTCGCGGCCTCGTCCGAAGGGACGCGCATGTCCGAGACGAGGTTGTAGAGCACACTCACTTCACTGTAAAAGTCGGCGCCCATCTCGGCGGCGATCGCGAGGGCCTCTGCCTCGGACTGGAGCAGCGTCGGCTCGAATGCGGTCGTGAGTACGTCGGCGTCGAGCACGGGGAGCGGCTCGTCGCGCTTGCGGAGCTTCTCGGACGGAGGTTGCGAGCTCATCGAGTGCCACCGCGCCGAGTCTCGTCGCCTTTTGCCTCCGGAGGCAGATCCGCTCATGCCACCGAGTTGCACGCACGTGGCTTGCATCATGGCGGACTATGGCGCCGGCGTGGATTACCAGTAATGATCTT